CGTAACCTAACTTTTTAATTTACAAAATTCTCAGAAATGATGCATTTCTCATTAAGTAAATTATTCAATTAGGCACTAAAGAATTATGAATATCCAGTTGCTCTTCATTTGAATCTTAAAATAATTTCATATAAAAATCTAGAAAAAAGGTGGCCTATAAAAATAATGGGCCGTTTGGCCTATATAACCTCGTTACTTTGACATGTTGGGAGTTAAAAGTAATTACCCCCTCGATAAATTGACAACTTTAACCAATCTCCAGATTGAAAACGCTCCATTTCCGAGAACATTCTTATATATAAAACTTGTTTGTTACGATAAGACAAAGCCATTTACGAAGTCAGTATAAAACAGTTTTTTATTATCACTTTAGATGACGAATAATCGAAAGATTATTATATTTAACTTTCTTATTTAAATTATTATATTTAAATACTAAGTGTATTTAGGCAATTATATTTATTATAATACATCTCTCATCATGGAGAAACAAGAAATAAATGCTTTGCAACAATTTCTTGTAGTCATTTTTGCTGAAAACACGAGTATTTTTTGGCGACAGGACATAAAATCACATCATTTTTTTTTAAACAACTTGAGATGAATCTCAAGTGTTTTCCCAATAAAGCTGAACTTAATTAATATGGGCTTAAAACAAATAAAACGGAGACGTTTTTTTAAAGTAGGGTATTCGTGATATGATAAAAAACAATCGGGAATAATTTATGTTTTTTTTTTTAGAAACAGGAGTAAGCTTAGTTTCGTAGCTCAAAATACCTCCTTAGATAGTTTTAAAATGACTAATTATATTTTATTTTAAAGTAAATATTGTCTAATTTACAGTGAAGCAGTTGTCAATTACTTTAAATAAATTAAATTAAGTATTTCTTAAGTTATCGCTTGGTATTCAACAAAAAACATAACTAACTTACAAAAATACAAAACTTAAATACTCAGCTTACTTAAATTCTACCGAAAATCGGACCAATGTTTAGATAAAAAATTTTGTAGTTCTTTAATTCCGCTCATCACTCCGATAAATATTCCCCTCTAATTACGGGACACAAACTTACATATAAAGTTCACTAGCGGATCCAGGATTTAATTTTGGGTGGGGGCTTCAGCCCGAAAGATTTTTTTTCATATACATATAACGATAATTAATTTGAAAAAAAAGAAAGAAATTAACTACCTATATGAAACGGTGTTTAAGTGGTTCTTGAAGTTCTATTAAATGTAATTAAACAAACAAGAATACTTTAAGAGATAGTTTTTAATATTTTTTTCTATAAAACATGATTATATTTTACCATTTTGGGGGGAGGAGGGTTCAGCCCGAAAGCCCTCCCCCCCCCCGTAGATCCGCCTGTGATACAGTTTATAAAAGGAGTAACTAAATTATTGCTGATATATTGATACCAGTGTTGTTTAAAAGTACAGTTTTATCAAGAGCTGCGAATTAATATTCGCACTTGAAGGAGGCTGTAGATATAACTGCAGGGGAGTTCAATTACTGTTTTTAGTGGACAACTTAAGGCGAGGGCTCTCGGAATGAACCCACTTCAAAAAACTGCTGAGCACGAGCCAGTTCCACAATATCCCTAATCCGGTTCTCGAGGGCTTTTCTTATAAGTAGATAAAACAAAGCACGAATTCTATCCAAGTTGAAAACGTATTGTAGAAGTTATTAGAACTTCTTCTAAGTGAACTCGTTCTCTGTTAAAACGGCCCGCTTTTACAATTACCAACCTAATTTTACAAAGAGGACGGCGACGCTAAAGGAAAAGTTCGTCTCTTTTAGTTAAACTAGTTTGTATGAATTTCAGCTTAAAATAACTTTCTTCGTAATCCAGCAGCAGAGTATTACAACCCATATAGTCAAAATTAATACTGCATCTTATAGGTCTATATAATCCTAGTATTTGAAGTCCCATCCTTCCTATAATATATCATTATATCAATGAAAGTGGTTTGGGGAAGGATTTAGTCATCAGAATATTTATATAACTTAATATTTCTATTCATTTCAATGTTCAAGGCATGTTTAGATAGATTTCACTATATCTTATTATTTTATACTTCTAACTATCTCGTTGGCGCTACAACCGGAGGGTGGGCTTCCTCTAGTAGCTTCCACCATCCAGCTGGATCCATTGCAGCTGCCTACCAGTTCAATTTTCCTAGTAGCAGTATGCTGGAGTCAGCTGTCATGCTATCTAACCATCTTAGTCTGGGTCTGCCTCTCCTCCTGGGGCAGTCAATTTGGAGGACTCTTTTGGGAATATCACCCACCTCCATCCGAATCACATGGCTGGAACAACTTAACCTTCGAAGTTTTATGAAGTCCAGAACATTTAAGTCATTATACACAGTTTATAACTCCTGGTTTCTCCATCTCCTCCAAACTTCTCCTTCTTTCACAGGGCTCTGTATTCATCCCAAATTTTCGGTTGGAATATAAGGAGGCTATTTTAATCAGCCTTTGTAATCATTCATGTTTGTGAGGCATATGTCATTACCAGTCCAATCTAAGTTTTATGTAATCTTGCCTTAGTTAGTCTCGAGGGTATATTTTCTATTTACTTTTTATTACTTTATTTATGTAACTTAGTATTTAATATTCCATCTTCTTTTTATTTAATTAATAATCTGTTCATTTCATTTCCTCTGAACATATTATGACATCACTTGATAGCAACTACCAAATCCTATTTATTTTATTTTACTTCTTACTCCTACAATTTATCTATTATTACTTAAAATTCTGTTTCATTTATTTGTTATTTCATTTTCAATGCTTTGTTTATTTCATTAAGTTGTTACCATCATCTTATCACTTCGTAGCTGTTATTTTATAACTTTCTAAGTTTGTATTGTTATTTTACAATTCAAATCAAACGATCCACAGTGTCTCATTACACTTGAAATTTACTATATTTTATATTGAATAATTCATGGCAATAAAAGAAATTGTTGAAGTATAAAGATTAATTATTTCAATAATTAATGCTAATTATAATTATATATAAATAACATTTAAATTATAATTTAAAAAATACATTTTAATGCTCATAAAATTTTAGAAAAAAAATAGCCCCTTACAATGCTAAGAGTAATGGACAAATTGTAACCTGAAGTAATTGAAACCTGGAAATTTATAGCATTCAGCTTCAATTAATAATTATGTTTCAGAGTCCCCAAGAGTCCAAAAAAATTCCTTCCTTTTGTAGTTACACATTGTTGATAAGTTCAAAGCCTAAAGCTCTTAAAATGTGAATGTCCCAAAGATATTTACAGAAAGTTTGTATGACTCATAACCTCTTGCTTTTGAATGTCAGGGAACAAGCATTTTTGATATCTGATATGAACAATTATAGGTGATACCTTTTCTTTATCATATCTTTCATTAATGGTTTTCTTTCTTTTTTTGTTATTTTTTTGCATTTATGTAAACCAAACTGATAAAATCTTTTTTTTTTTATCAATTATCTTATCTGTTGTTCTTGCAATATCACGTAATAATTATTACAGTATTAATACTGTTCATCACAATAATATTCATGGGTGTATCCAAAGAGGAACTAGTACCTTTGGATGGAGCTATCCCTTCCACTTTCAACATGTAAAAAAATGAACAGAAAATAAATAGGAACAAGTATAAAAACATTCTGAAAAACTGCTAAGCAGCTACACGTAGCTATTGTTACTTTTAAGGAAAGTAATAATGAAATAAACAGTCCTTTCACACTTAAATTCATTGCTTTCTCTTTTAAATAATTGCCCATTCTCCTGGCTTTGTCATTAAAAAGATTTGAACATAATAATTTTTTACAATTGTAAAATAAAAATACTTACTGCCATAAATGAAATTACCGAGTAGTCAGACTTTGCAACAAACTAATGATAGACAAATGATCAAATCAAATAATACATTTGTTGAGCAATGTATAAAAAAAAAAAAAAAATACTTATCACAATGGTGATGCTGTGAAGGAAGGTTGATAATTGAGATTGTATCAGGTATTCAAGATTATTTCATTTTTACTTTTATAAAATATTCTGTATTCAACTCCAATCCAAAAGAAATTATTAGTTATTTCTAAGATCCTTTGTCCTTCATTACAGTTGATTAAATTGTATTCTCAAGGAAAGCTATTTAATCAGTAAATTGGTTTTTCTCATCTAGTTTCTAAGCAAATTGAATGAACCCATAATTGACAGTACTTCAATTCTCTCCTATTGTCTGCAAGCTACAATAGGATCTGTTTCATTAAAGCAAAGAAAAAAAAAAAAAAAAAAAAGAATATGGAAAATCGAATAGGTTTTCAAACATTTTTCCTGCAATATCAATTTATTAGATTAGTGGAAGCAATGAATTAATACTTCTTGCTTCTATGCCATGAAAAAGTTTCTTCAGTACTTCATTAACTAGAGTCCTATTCCATTGTTTTCTTTATTGCCTTAAACATTTGTTTTATTTTAATTGAATTGAGGGGCTGTAGTTTTAAGCAAATTGCATCTTAAGGAACCCTTTCTGTCAATTTGTACTTTAAGAAAAAGCAAATTAAAAGCAGGCGGGTTTTTTTCTTTTTTTTTAATCCTTTCTTGGCTATGTCATGAACAGGAAATGACAATCCAGTAACTTTAGATATTAACAATACATACAGTATAACAGGAAAAATAATATAGTAAATGTTTAAATGATATTCCAAAAGTATGATACATGGTGAAAATAAAACAAATAAACTTCATTTTTTATAAAACAAGTAAACATTATTAAAGCAAAATAAAATGATAATATTAAGAGAAACTTTTTTATAAAATGAATAATTAACGTCAGTATGATTACCAATATATTCATATATATGATCTGTGTTTTCAAGGAAATTAAAATTACTTCATTTATCACTAAAAAATTGCTATAAGGTTTAAGTAGATCAAGTATGCTAAAGTAGAATCAATGAATTTAAATTTAATGAGCACACTTTGTCTGCCTATAGGAGCGTGGGAGGACATTGCGAGGAGGACCAGACTACGATGGCTACCCTCCTCGGAGGTACATGAGCTACAGTAGCGAGTACCTTCTTGGACGGCATGAGCCCTGCCCTGCACACCCTCACCTGCCTCCCCCGCCACCACCTCCTCAGATACCCACAGCACCTCACAGGTATCTTGTCATTTCTATGAAAATGTAAAAGGAATAACAGCAAAATGTATCTGAACTGGTCGGGAAGGAATGTAAGTCAACATCAAAAAGTGTTTGCATGATAATTGCTCGGAATATTTTCTCCCTGAAAAGTATGTCCCTTACTAAATATCAAAATAATATGAAATTTTAAATGGTTTATAAAACATTATTGTGGTAACCATTAATCATGAACTACACTGATTTTACTATTATCACCTTTAGATATGCTGATAGAAGTTACTTCAAACCAAATTGTTATTTTTTTAATGTAAAATAATTAAAATTATTCATAAAATATTTCTTCTTAAGATATCATTATATTTTATGTGAAGGTTGTGATCTTTTCTCTCTCTTTAGACCATACATGACAGTGTGTTTGAACCTGGTCGTCATCAATAATGGAAGGATAGCAAATAGCTCTTTGTCTCTTAAGTTAAAATTACAGCTTCTAATCATATAACCATTTACTTATGATAATCTATCTAAATGTATAGTTCAACACAAAAGGATTTACAATTTTACAGAATAGATTTTACATTTTTATTTCTTTTAAAAAAAAGGATACTTGTGACCGACGCCACCTCTATGGACTACTGTCTATCTGTCAATGTTTATAACTTGAACACTGATAATTGTGATAAGGCACTGATAATCCCTATCTGCCAATGTTTACAACCTGAACACTGATAATTGTTACAAGGCACTGATAATTAATACCTATCTTCGTATGAAATTAGACTCTCCTATAATAAGAAATATAAATATTTTTAATGTTGCCTCTTTTTTGCCTGTTTCTTATTAATATATATATATATATATATATATATATATATATATATATATATATATATATATATATATATATATGGGGTGGGGCTGGGGTAGCTGTATGGGCTAAGGCGCTTGCAATAGGTAATCAAAGTTAAGCAAGGTAGAGCATGGTTAGTATTTGAATGGGTGACCGCCCGATTCGGGTGACCGTCAACCAGGGAAAGCCATGCTGTCCGAGTCTCTCCTCCCCCTGGGTATGTAAGGCCCATCAGCCTACTGGAGGCAACTCACACAGATCGGACGTAGGACTGATGACCCTACCCCGTGTACTTAAATCGGGAATCGGGATGTGGTTTACCAGGATGTTAATAGCCCCCCTGAGGTTCAGTCCATGGATGGTCTGTTTCGGGGAAAGAAATATAGGTCCTCGTGCGCCTGCTGACTCCGAGCATCCATAATCCATGGATCTAGACTGATTTGTCACTGTCCTTGAACCCAAGAAAGTCAGTGGGAAGAACATTACCAGATTGGCTCCAAAGGGATCGGCTATGGAGCTAAGGGTGGCCTGCCGCTGCACCATGGAAACCATGGTTCGTAGCAACGTGAGGTTGGGTGAACCCCTCCAGGCTATCTGAGCTCCTGCAAGTATCACATGTCTGTAAGGAGACCACATCTCGTGGCCAAAGAACTTCATAGTCTGTAGTGCCAACCGAAAAAAAAAATATATATACATATATATATATATATATATATATATATATATATATATATATTAATAATAAATATAAATATAACAATAATATAGTAATTTAATAATAAGAAATATAAATAACAACAACAACACTTTATAAAAACACTTTTATTTTACAACAAACATAAATCATTTCATTTATTTATTTTGGGAGGCAAAATAGCTTGACGCTATTTAAAATAGCGAGGAACGGGTCTTCTCTGTGAGCGTGCCGCCACAAAAATTCACATAAAAATGAATTGAGGTGTTGCCTCGCAGTTCCTCGCTATTTCTTATTTCTCCACTTAGCTGAGCCCCAAAAACGTTCTATATGTTGAGTATGGACCCCAGTCGATTGATCAACGAAGTTATAACGGTGATTCATCTGAAAAAGGTTATAGTTTGCTTCATTCAGTTGTTGGGTGTTGTATACTTTCCAACAGTCGGAATAAATGGAGCTTCCCTCTTCTATATTATTTTTAATACATTCTAATAAAGTTATTGCCTTTCTGTCCTTTATTTTTACAATAAAACACTGTTTCTCGACAAACTCCGCCAAACATCCATTGTTCAGGAAGAACTCTCCCTACATGATTTTTTTGTTTAAAAAAAAGACTCTGGTCTACTTCAACCACTTTCCCAGGCCCTCCAATTTTCTTTGTTGACCTGTATAACATGTTATGGGCACAAACCTCTCTTAAAAATTTGTTCCACATTATGATACATTTGTTCAATAGTTTCAGTTGCTCTTTGGCCCACTTTATTGTTGTCAAATTATGAAATCATCCATAAACAAATTTTAATGCAGTTGAAAAGGTAATCTTCGACCCCTCTAAGAACGTCCCTTTCCTTATCGATACTTTTTTCTTACAACTCCTACGAAAACATCTCTTCCCGACGAACTTCATTTCATGACCTTCATCACAATATTTCACCTTCGCAATTATCCCTGCATCTTGAAAATATTTGATAGCCTCTTCTTCTACAAAATACAGCAATTCCCACAATGTAATTACATCCATTTTAATAACGCACAATGAATAAACACACATAAAACAGCTCACACTATATAAAAAGGCAGGTTACGTGACGTAACATAACATAAGGATAAGAAGGTGACGTAACATAAGATAAGAAGGGTGGTTTCGCAGAGGGGACGTTGGTCACCAAGTACCAAAAAAAGAATTACAGAAAAAAATAAAGAATTTATCACGTTTCATTGAAGAAACGAGCAACACAACAACTTGCTTTTAGATCCTTTGAGATGATTTTACCATTTTTATGTTCGCTCCAAAATCTATATTATTGTAAATTAGCAAGTACTATAGAAATGTATCCATTACTTATATTAACTTTTTTTATTATCATGTTCTTATTACTTAGTAAAACTTTATATTTTCTGATATTTCCAAGCACTAAAAATATATCCATTATTGACCCTAAAATTTACCAATAAGACCCTGTATTTTGCTGTTTCTTGTATTGGATTTGTATATGTAGTATATGATGTAATGACAAGTAAAAATATAATATTAATCAAATAAATACCCCATTCTTTATAAATGTTGGAAACTTTTAAAGCTACTACTTTTTATTGTGGATTAGCAGACTTGTTTGCAATTACTAACTGGTCTGGCTTCAAGGTATACTATGTAATTATTTACTCAGCTATATCAGCTAAGGATCAACCATGGGATGGGAAACACCTTGGGGCACACTTACCCTATATCTTTATACAGCGGAGGAACAACCTGGAAGTTAAGTGTGATTCTGGCAAAATCATCTTATAGCACTACTGTAGGTCAAGAAACAGAACATTCTTATCAAGTAGTGAACTCAAGACTATTCATGGGTTGTAAGGGGGACAGTTTTCTCATTTGTTTAAATGAATATCATTTATCTTTAATTATTGAGAATCTCTTAGTTGGGAATACATTAATAATGGATCACTTTTACAGATATTAATATTCATATATTAAAAAACTAGTAAATCTAGTCAGGATGTGCTTGACGGAGACACTCAATAAAGTTAGAATCGGTAATAATCTGTCCGAAAAATTTGAGGTTCGTTCGGGTTTAAAACAGGGGGATTCCTTTTCTCCTGTCCTTTTCAATTTGGCATTAGAACATGCCATTAGGGAGGTAATGCGTACCGAAAAAGTGTTGGATCTGGATGGGACAACGTCCATGCTGGGCTATGCGGATGATCTGGTGCTGTTACTATAAAACTAAAGAGGACAACGTTAATGAAAGCCGGTAAAGAACTAGGACTCGAAATAAACGCAGATTAAACAAAAAATATGGTTAGCTGCAAAAATGGCGATACTACTGGTGATATTGATATAGATGGTTATATGTTTGAACAGGTAGATAAATTTAGGTATCTAGGTTCTACGATTACTAGAAAAAACGAAATTGAAGAAGAAATTAAGTTTAGACTGAAGGCGGGAAATGCTTGTTATTTTTCTGTGACAAAACTACTTAGCTCACGCCTCTTGTCCCGGAACTTAAAAATTAGAATTTATTAAACCATTATCTTACCTACAGTTCTTTATGGATGCGAAACTTGGCCTCTTACATTAAGGGATGAGCAGCATCTTAAGGTTTTTGAAAATAAAGTATTGCATAGAATATTCGGACCGAAGAAGGATGAGTTAATCGGAGAGTTCAGACAGTTACACAACGCAGAATTGCGTGAACTGTATCCGTGTAATATAATTGAGGTAATTTCATCGCGGCAAATCAAATGGGCTTGTAAAATTGTTGGGCTTAGTAACGTGAGAATTTCTGAAAGATTAATATTTGCTGTACCGAACATCCGAGGGGTAGGCCAAAGAAAAGGTGGGAAAATTGCATTAAAGCCGATCTGAAGGGACTGGGTTTGGACGGCGAACTGTGGAGGGAGGTGTGTAATAAGCGATTGGTGGTGTGGGCATCGAACCTTCGGGTTTGCTAAGCCTTTACTCCCAATCCTGAAAAGATTCTCCTGAAACGAATCCTACCCTTTATAGAATCTCAAAATCTTCCTTCACATTAGTTCGGATCAGTATTCCGTTCCCAACACTCCATAGTCCAACAAAGACTTTGAGTGGTCGATCATATTTCTGCAGCCCTGGAAAGCAAGCAATATTTTTCGGGTGCATTTCTTGACATAGCTCAAGCTTTTGACCGGGTATGGCATGCCGGACTTCTTTTCTAACTTAAAATCCATCTGCCTCAGTCTTTATACCTTGTACTCCGCTTCTACCTCTGTGATCATACCTTCCAAGTTTGCTGTGGCACTGATTTTCCAATTGCTATCCAATTGAGGCTGGTGTTCCTCAAGCTAGCGTATTGGGTCCCGTCCTTTACATCCTCTTTACCGCCGATATCAATTTTATTATTATTATTATTATTATTTACCGATATTTATAAGCTAAGAAATGTCCTAAGCAATTCTATCAAGAAAACTGTTATATTATACTTATTTATTCATCACTTAATTTGTCTACAATAAATGATTGTGACATGCAGGGAAAAATTTAAATATTTTAGGGCTTAGTTATAATCTATGAACATACGAAAATAATTCATCCAAAGAACCAGAAAAATAATGTTTGATTAACAAACCTAACAACAACCTTTTATATACTTAACAGCAATTTAAATATACTTAAACTACTAAAGTTTAATCAGATATTTATTTATATTCAGATAAGTACTTATTATTTTTTTCCAAAATTTGAAATCAATCTTTTACCCACTTCACAATAATTTAAAAAAGCTTCAAAAATTAAAATTAATTATTTATGTTTTGATATTTTTCTTTTTTTTTATTATTATTTGAGGCTATTATTTTATTTAAACATTTTTACAAGATATATCAAAAACATATGATTGTACCACATTTGACTGAGGTATCCCATTAATTTGAGCCCATTTCTATACTGGATCGAGACGTTTTTGGACATTACAGCTTGCTGATGTAGTGTTTTTAGAACTTGTGAAAAAATAAAATGAAAATCTTGTGATAAAATATATAAAATATCCAGTTTTGAAAATAATCGCTTCTTTTAAACCTTCAGTTTCCTCCTTTGAAAAAGTTGATCAATATGAAGCTTCTGACTGTTGAAGAATAAAAGATTGTCTCAATGAAATTATAGATCAATAATTTAAATCCTTTTTATTTTATTTTTTCAGACCAAAGCACGTTAGTTTTGCACGATCTCACACAATGCAATCCTTTGAAGACACCGTCAGTTTTGGTAGTGGAAGCTGTATAACGTCTTGTAGCCAAGAGAGACTGATTGATGGAAAAAAGATACCTGACACTCCAAAAGTTATAGTGATGGGTAATTTTAAATCTATTTCTTATGAATATCAACTTTTTATATTAATTTAAAATCATTAATCTATTTCAAAAATTTAAGATCCCACTTCTCAACTTTGTGTAATAGCATTCGTTGTGAATGGATAGATTTGTTTACATTTATTATTTCTTATCAATAGTGTATCGCTATAAAGTATGGTGTTTTTTTCTTTAATTTTAAAGTGAAAAATGTTTTTACTTAACTATGGGGTGCCTGCGACTCAAAAATATCATTTTTATTTTTTCACCTGTTAGGTCAAACAAGATTAGAAACAGAAAACAATAAAGGAAGCTTTATCCCCAAATAAAGAATTTCATCTTTTTCTTAGTATCTTATTTTTATTTATGAATCATTTATTTTAATATTGCAACCAAATTCTTTGTTGATTATGGCATTTTACTCTAATTACATTTATTATAACTTCAGATTTTGTTTTTTACTTTGTGCTTCAGAGAAAGCCAAGAGGGCACCAATGAAAACACAAGCCACTCAGACTGAAGTATGCCTTGGCCGAAAACCATTACCTCCAAATTATCTTTCACTGAGCCCGAGGACTGTTCAAAGGGTATTTTAATTCAATAATTCATAACTATGTATAATTATTGCTAATCTATTTTCTCAATTATGCTATATTATTATAAAATGTATCATATCTTGATCAGCATCCAAGGACAAAGACAAGACCCTCTGAATCATTTTATAGCTATATAATATATTTGCATTACTATGAGCTACTTTTTATGGTAATGAGATTAAGTGAAGAGCGTTACTTTCATAACCTAATGGAAAAAATATTGTGGCTTCTTGACACTTGAATCTAAATCTGTTTGGTCTAAAATTGAGTACTAAAATTCATACATTTTAAAATAAATGAGATTTTCATTTATTTCCTTAAGAATAAAAATTCTCTCTCTAAACGCTAAAGTGATGTAGCTTCAAATAATTAATTTTTTATTTTGTTTTCTGTTAGACTTTTTTTAAACAACATTAAATAATAGTAACAATACCAATGAACCAAACTGAATTTAACATGGCATGAATAATTTAAATAAGAAATTAATTACCTTACATCTGCAACCATAATTTCAAACCTAATTTTTATAATTGGACATATATTCAGATATACCACTTTGGCATTAATCCAATGACATGTCATTTATAAAACATTATATTTAGATTCATACCTCAGCATATTAGTAGAAATAAATAAAACAAAAACATTGGCTTAATTTCATAATAATTGAATTTTATTATTTTCCAAAGGTAAGAATGGTATCTCAAGGTGCTCAGACCAATGGTGATCGTGCAATCAATAGAAAATTAATGAAAAGTCTTTCAGAAGCTGCCAAAATAGGGCAACAGCAACAAGTAGATGTAACATTGCACGAACCTCTTCAAAGAACTCAATCAGAAGAGCCCAGGTAATTGCATAATAAAATAATACATTAAGTTACTTCATTGAAAACTAGATGTTTTTTTGTCTAATTACAATTTTAAAAACATTGGATTATCATTTATTCAATTTTGTTTTGTTTAAGATCACCTTATTTGCCAACTAGTCCAAAAGAAATTTTTATCAATTTTGAACCACTAGAAAAGAAAGGGAAAAAAAAGTTAGCAAAAACCCTATCGGATGGAGAAATACTAGAAGCTAAACAGAAAGATGAAGGAGAACCTTGTACACTGTCTGATGGAGAGTTACAGAAAAGTGGTCTATCGGAAACAACACTTGATAATTTAGATCTTGAAATAACAAGTCCTCAGAAACAAAAATTCTTGGTAAATATTGTTCTTAATTTAACATTATTATTGTATAATGTCAAATTTGTGAGGGAAATATCAAATATATAGGGGAAAGTATAGCAATCGTGAAAAATTTTTAATCTAAGTTTACAACAGATATACATGTTTTAAGGTCCTCTGGGTCCAAATAACCATGTCTTAAAAATAAAAAAGCATACGAAAACAAAAAATCAGGTAGGTACATGACTGGAATATTCCAGTAATTATTTTGATAAAATTATAAATGTATATCATATCATTGATTTTAAATTTTTTTTTTTAAATTTTCTCAGATGGCTCTAATGACTTGTTATATTATATTTTTAAAAGTGATTAAACTTGTTATATCAATATAAAATCAAATGGTTTAATATTAAGTAGGTATTAACCTCATTGAAATACTCTAACAGGTATTTTTATTTTTTTATCTAAATCTCACTTTCTTTATTTGAAATAACTAACCATATCTCATTGTTAGTAATTGTAAAAAATGAATACATATAAATTATATAAAGGACTGTATATACAGGCCTATTTTAATAAAAATTGGAATACAATTTAAAATTAAAAATGTTATTATTGGAGACAAAAATAGTGAAAGAAAGTTATAGAATTTATTATGAAGAATGGATGATGGTAAGACAATAACCATTTCAATAAAATTATATTTTTAGGTTCAAATGAATTTGAATTTTTTTATGAAGTATAAAAAACAGTTCAATTAAGGATATATAAACATAAAAATTATCTCCACTTTGTTTTTAACAATGTAGCTATATGAAACACGAAAGTGACTTTAGGGGGCAATATCTTGCCATACCTGTGGCCGGCTTTACAAAAGATTTGTTTCAGAGTTTGAGTAAAATATAATACATTAATCCATTTCTGTAATCATTCTATTAGACATTATCTTATTAGAAAATTATTCATAGTTTTATTTTGTTTTTAAGATCTCAGCTGATTCACAAGAGGAAGAATTCCATGAAAACCTGATTTACCAAGATATGTTTCGTAAGTCAAGCCTGGAAAGTCCAGGTGATGGAAAAGGTCTCCTAACGCCAGCCAGCCCTTCACCCTTTGCTTCATGCGACTCTCTCAACACAAAGGATCACTCTGATGGCATGTGGAATGAGTCTCAAATGACAGTAAATTATATTATTTTTATTTACCTTCATTTTACAGATTTTAATTCTCATATGAGGTGTAATCAATTGTGAGTTTCATTACTTAACACTTCTTTACCGATCCTTAAATATATATATATTGTAATTATAGGTCATTAAAAATATTTTATAAAGGAAAAAAATTTCTATTAAAATTTATAATATAATTAAGTTTTATTTAAATTAAATTAAGTTTAAAAAACATTTTGTACCATATTTCTACCAAATTAAGCCTTAATGTTTTTTTATTTCCTTAAAAATCAGCAGGTATAGTCTATATATAAAAGCTCCTTCTGAATGGAGGTGCATCTTGGATTGACTGAATATATGGAAAATAAAATGAATTAATTTCAAAACTAAAAATCAATAAATATATAATTAGAAAAACTAGTGAATGTAAATAAAATATAACACTTGAACATTTGGTGAATAGACACTTCATTATATTTTCTTGAAAAAAAATGTATATATATAAGTAAAGAAATATAATTACAATACATATTATGCAAATTTAATCCTTTTTAGGTTTTGCATGCTGACTCAGATAATAATGGAGCAGGCACCTGTATGAGTGGTTCTGATGTAAGCTCTTCTCTAACTCCAAGTGCTGCATTGAATTCAATGACGCCTTCAACAAGACGAAAACATTTACTCATGATGCAGCATGCCCAGCGCTCAAGTATGGACACAGATGCACTTGAATGTGAAGAAACTGCTTTCGAACCAGTAATTTTCTTAAATAATTTTTTCATAAGGTCTTACTTAAGCAAATATTATTGAATGATCACATTTTTCTTTTTAGATATACTTTTCTTCTTCTTGTCATTCATCATTCATGATCATACTTATAGAGATCCTATTAAAATTTTAGGTTTATTATAGATGACTCTTTTTAACTAAAATAGGCTGCATGTGTACTAATAGATATATTTTTTAAATGCTTTTGAAATTTAGTTTTAATAAATATGTATGATACATACTTTTGTATTTTGGAATGAATCTTGCAGCAGGTACCTGTTTCTATATTCAAGCTGTATTATTTGTGTAATGTATTATGTAGCTTCTTTTTTTATTTTCCCTGTAAATTATTTAGTATTGAGTTAAATGATTTTCAGGAAATTCAAATGAAGACAAAACAAGAGAAGAGCCCATCCGTCCCAACATTAGCAGTAACAATTCCAATTCATGATATCACTCCAGAACCTTTATCGAGGACTTCAATGCAAAAAGAAAAAGAAATGTAAGAACATGAAAAATATTTTCTGTATTCATATATGTTTTTTCTTTCCTTAGAAATTTGTCTGATTTATAATTTAATATAACACATAATGAAAAACAATGTTATATAATTTGTTAGCTTAGAGGAAGCGAGTGTTTTTTTTTTTTTTGTTTTTTTTCATCTAATAGACTATAAAGGATTAACCTAATAGGTATATATACATTAGACAGAATACATTTTCTGTACAATTAGTTTATATATTTATAAAAATGGCAGGAAATAGTACCTCAAAATTTAGGATATAAAATTTTATTACAAACATTAAACTCCAAAAATATCCTAATCCATATTATTATATTTATTTTAGAAATTAGATTATGTTTGTTACCAGCATTTGAAAAATGTCACTTTTGGTCTCCTACAACCTACGGTATCTTACTTTGATAATCTATATTTTCACATATTATTTCTGCATCTGGATAGAAAAATAATCAAATTTTAAACAAAGTTACGGAATTAAATATTTTTTATAATATACATTGTTTAAAAAGCATGCAGTGAACAGTTTCAGTTTGATCAACTTTCTTCATTTTCGCCATTTTAATTTTTAAATACAATTAGATAAAGGTGGCCACTATGTGATATAGAAAAGTTTATGATCAAAATAAAATATAGTAAAAAAAGAGAAATGGAATCAGTTTAATAACCAGAAGTTAAAAATTTAATAGTCACAATAGTCATCGCAAGTACTCCATCCCTTTTCACATTCACCATTTTGAATCTGCATTACTAATTTATACTCCATTCTTGAAAGAGGCCATGAGTACAAAACCAAAATTCACCACCTTTTCATTGATTTCATAGCAGCATATGAGAGTATAATACGTGTATAGTGCCCTCAGACAATTTAACATACCTGAGAAACTTATAAATTTGATCAAATTTACCATGAAGGATGTCAGATGTATGCTTAGATTAAATGACGATAGACCAGAAGAATTTCCTGCAGGTAAATTGTTTTACCTGTTGGTTAAAGAATTTCCTAGCCTGTATGTTGTTTAACCTACCACTTGAGAAGGCCGTAAGAGACACTGGTTTACGCGAACGATAAGGAAACATATTTACTAGGCTTGTACAACTGTTCGCTTACACTGATATTATAAACATTGTGAGATGCTCCCTGCAGGAGGGGACTAATGCTTTTCTGGCACTGATGGGTCCTCCCAGCAGACTTGGACTGGAAATTAATGATTTGAAAACAGATCTATGTACAAATTATATGGTAACAAAAGAAATTTCCATGCCAGGCTAGACAGTCCCTATTAGGCTTCATAAATTACTTATCTAAGGTATGTGGTCACTCAGGATAAGGAGAAGGATCATAGCAACTACTTACGATTAAGCAAACAGCTAAGCAGGTGGATACTTTCCAGCCAGACCAAGCTCCACCTGTATAAGACATTGGTGCCCCGTACTTCTTTATGGATCAGAGTGCTGTACAACTTTAAAGGCCACTAACTAAAAAAGAGCTCCTTATTTTTGAAAGAAAAGTTCTCTGCCATGTTTTTGGAGGAGTGAAAGTGGCGCACGAACCAAAAACTGTACAATGCTTTTGGGGAAGCTGATGTTGTGAAAGCAATGAATTGAGACATTTAAGATATGTTGAGCATATTTTCAGGAAAGCAGATGGATAAACGGCCAAAATATTGCTTACACAGCCAATCTATGGAACAAGAAAAAGAGGAAGACCAAAACTGAGATGGCGTGGCAGGAGATGCCCGTAACATGCTGGAAGTTAGGAAATAGATGGCATGGGCACAAGACCATGAAGATTGGAGGAAATGGTTGCAGGAGACCAAGACCTGTTATCAGATTATAGTGCTAGGAAATAATAATTTTATACTAGCTAAATAAATGGTGATTTAGAGTACCCCTTTCATCTAGCATATGTATATGATAACAAATCAAACTCATTTTTGTTTATAAAATCTAAAGATATATATTTAGTAAGCAATAAGTAATTTTTTTAGTTGATTTATCAGGAAAATGGATAGACCTTTATCCCCGGCACTAAGAGGTAAACGAAGAAGTCCTGGCACAAGAACTCCAGAATCTGACTATCACCATTCATCTTCCCAAACTCTCAGTAGCAATGGTAATTTAAATACAATTAGATATAAAATATTTTCTAATTTAAAAAGAAAAACATATAAATTTGGTGGCTACTTAAATAAAATATTTTGTCCCTTATGAATGACTGTTTAGAGACAGCATCACAATGGGAAAAAAAAAATTCTCTCATCTCGTTAAATCAAACAATTTCTTGTTGTAATCCGAGGGATTCTTAATGATTTATATTCAAAAGGCTATAAACAAAAATAAGAGTTTGTACATCCTTCAATTTTTTTTATTCAATAAGTACAAACTTTTGGTAGATAATATATTTATTAAAAAATAATCACATATATTAACCCTTATTGTTTGCTAGCCTTTTATATATGATTCTCACTAGCTTGTAGCGGGTCTAGGTAAATATATAAAACAATTTCAGTATTGCAAGAATAACATTTTTGTGTTGTCACATGAGAGGTAACTCACGACTGATAAGAGTTAAAAAGAAAATTTCATTAATTAATAAGAATCAGAATTCGAAGAATACTATTGAACTGTCTTAGGAAAATAGAGAATGATTCATATTTTACCTCAAAATCTGTAGTCTGTCCAACTAACACTAACAAAATTTGTTTTAACAGAAGCATTTGCAAGATCTGACTCTGGAAGGACAAATACAGACATGTCAGAAGCCTCGACGACCGATGATTATGCCACTGCAACAGAAAACAATTCAGATGGCAGTGGTAGACCTCAACAGCAACAGCCAGGCACTGGATCTTTTGAAAGCGGTTCTTCTTTGTATAGTCTAACAAGGACAGATGCCACCGAGGAGCAACAAGTATGTAATGGTCAGGTAAATGGAAAAACCATTTCTATCATTTATGAAATGGTATACTACCGGCATGTAATATATGATGTAATATAATTTTTAATTACTGTAAAAAGTCTTTTAATTAGTACAACCAGTGTTCTTGTGAAATTAGTTTCATTTATAGTATAACATATAACAGGGGCAAAGACTAGTGATGACCAGGACAAAATCATTCTTTCCAGGGAACATAGAATGATTTATGATTCACTCATGACTATTTTTTATTAATTATTCACTGATTAAATATAGCTGCTTTAAACTGTATTGAATGGATATAAAAGGAATTAGAAACTATGATTCATGATAAACTATGATAAAAGCTATTCATTTAATATATAATTATGGGGGGGCAGAAAATATGATTCACTAAAAGGAGCTATCTCTATTGTTCCTTAGTCATTTATCAACAACTCAGTAAAAATTATAGTTTTTTTAATCAATAACTTAAAATTTTTTCAATTTCTAATAGACATGTGTAAACATACATGTATCATACATACCTTTATATTTGTTTCATTTTTAAAAACAATATATATAGATTCACTCCATAGTTTCATTGATTTAAATATACAAATTCAAACTAACTTAATTCAATTGTTTGCATAGTTGGCATATTTTAATTATTAATTAAAGTAAAATCAAGATAAGGAAGATTCTTTTAAAAAAATATGCTTAAAAATATGAAATACAAAAAAAGGTAATTCTAAAGGGACTGTACATGACACTAATTTTCTTTTTCAGTTTTTTCTCTACTAGGATTAAAATTAAGATTAAGATTGCTAATGTGATGGCTTAACACACTCGGTTGCCAAGTACTCACAGCTATCTTACTGAACATTTGTCTATGAAAACTACATTTGTCCATTCATATTCAGTAATATAATGCTAGGCTTAGCGCGTTAGCTGCAGTTATGTTCTCCGGGTTCCGATATTTGTCTTGACTGCCAGGATTGTTACAAATTTTGCATATCTTATGAAGTCTCTAAAATGGTCATTTTTTAAAATATTTCAATGGGAGTTGGATAGATGTAAAGATAGATACAAATGTAAATAATCATTATATTTGATATTAAGCTATAGGATGCCCGGGACCGTAACCACAGCTAAGGTGTTAAAATAGTGAGAAAAACATTCTAGTAAGGCAGTCAATAATTTCTATGATTAAAACTAATTAAATCTGTTTCTTATTTAATATCTACTAATAATTAATTTATATTATTTTTACCACGTACCTTTTATATTTTGTATCTTTTGTAGCCCTATTGAAGACCTACAAAGTATGTCAAAATGTCAGCATAACGAATAAAATACTATTTTAACAATTTAGTATTTATTTGACTGCACCCCCTGACCAACTCCTTGTCATATTATATCACGGTCAACCATCTCTACTCCATTATAAATAACATTAAATTATTTATCAAAATTAAAATTTTATATCTTCATGTACATTAATATGAATCATTTAAAATTAACCCCATATAATTATAACCTTCAACAAAAAATGATTCTATATTATAAAACTTCAATCATTTAAATGTTTATAAAATCCTTTAATAATTATATATTTAATAAAAGACTGGCTAATAATTCTTTGATTGGCTAATTTGAATTCTGAATTCTTTTACAATAAAGTTCTGCAGAATGTGTATACAATGTGGACTTACAAGTGCTGATAGTTTTTGGCCTTCTGCTATCGGTGTTTATGGAGTCTTTTTTTTTCTTTTCTGTTCTTTCCTACCTAGCCTTTTAGGCAATATGGGATTTTCCCAGGCCGTAGGGTGACAGTGGGGAATTTAAAATCACTCGTACTTTTTAATCTCTCAAATCTCTGTTATCTGGTTGCCAGGCAACTCGTGGTGCTGTGCCTTACGAAGCATGTAAATAATGGTGCTGGGTGCTGACTGACAAACTTGAGAGAAAAATCACTGCTGCAGAAATGAGGTTTCTCCAAAGTATCGCAGGGAAAACGAGATGGATATCCTAAAGACTCGGCAGCTTAAGTGGTTTGGGCATGTCATCAGGATGGAAGAACATAGAGAGCCATTAAATTCTATGGACTACGTCCCCAATGGCAGAAAAATGCCCGCGGCAGACCTAGAATGTCGTACCTCGAATATGTGGACCACCTGTGCAAAAATAGAAATTAGAATATACGCCAAGTCAGAAATCTTACAAGAATCAGGGAAAATTGGCAATCCTGGTTAGACGCTCCCCTACGCGTCTAAGACCCCTAGAAGAAGTAAATAATGGTTATGAGCATTATTTACATGCTTTAGCCCATTCGGCCAACCCGCCCTCTGATTTTATCCCGACTCCTGTTTCTGGATTCTGGGATATAATCTAGTCTCGCTGATTCTCCATAAAAATGTTCTCTCGACGGCGACTCCAATAAAAGTAGTGTTCTGTCTGGGACTCCCCATAAAAGTGTCTTACTCTTTTACCCCCTCTTGTGTCTACTGCCTATCTGAATCACCTCCATTTCAGCTATAGATTTGTGACTAAGCATCGATTCTTGTTAAATCAGGTGACATGTTCAAATCTGACAGATCTGTGAAGGTGTTTGTTTATGCCTGATTCTGGTGTTATTTCCACTTTGTCCATAATATTAATTATTATAATAAAATTCTAATACGGTGCTTACTAGATCATAACAATATATATATATATATATATATATATATATATAATATATATATATATATATATATATATATATATATATATATATATATATATATATATATATATATAGATAGATAGATAGATATTACATGTAAGATTATTTGTTATGGAATTATAATATCATTGATATTTTATTATAAAGTTTTTAAGAATTAAAGCCAATTTATGTTTACAGGTACCTTCTTCACCTCCACTTATTGAAGAAGAGCTGGAGAAAGGGAGTGAAGAAAAAGGGCGAGAGGGTGATGGAGATACCTCAAGTCCTGAAAGCAGCACTTGCGGAAGGTAACTTTAGTTTAAATTCCTCTCTATGTTATGTAAGTATTAGAAGTAAATTAATGTATTTTTTTGCACTTATTGCACTTATGTTAACTTTATAACTAAATAGTTTAAATGCTCCATAATAATAAATCCAATAAAATTTTGCTTTTTTATTTTTTAACATATTTTAAATATTTTTACTAAATTGATGTCTAAATTAAAAATTAATAAAAATGCATGTTTTGTTCTTTTTTTTTATTGAACTTTTTTCCCTTTTACTATTGCATTTATTCCACTTTTTGACATTTTAGCTATAGTGTTGAAGGAAGCAGTGAAAAATTAGGGCATTCTGACAAAAGTGGTCATTGCTCGTCCACAGGTGGTTATGATTCACCTTTTGAAGATCGTACTAGGAAAAGGTACTCAAATCATAATAATCTGAAAATATCTGAATAAAGTGTAGTCCATTTTGTGCTGTAAATAAGAGGTTTAAAAAGAAAACCAGTCACAGCTGGATAATTAATTATTATTGGAACGAAGACTTTTGTCAAAGGGCCAATTCATTTCTTTTTTAATTAATTTTTATAAGCATGTTCCATATTTCCGTATTCTTTATAGCATGGAACTTTTTACCTACTTTGCTTGTTTATTGTACGATACATTTTTAAAGTTTTTTTAAAATTGATCATTTTTGTTTTTTATATTCAGTAAATGGACATCAGATGATAAAACAAAAGTGAAAAAGCGGTTCACACTGGAATTGTCGACAAGCATGGAACGACCAGAAAGTCAGATTAAATCTGGTAAATGTACAAATTGATTGAAATATTTTTTTATTAGCTATAGATGGTAAACACCATAGGGAGTAAGGGGTAGCTCAATAGGTAGGATACTGAACTTCCATTCATGAACACAGGTTCAAATCTGAATGAGGAAGATCATTCTATATTTTGTTATATTAGACATGGATCACAGTCGGGTACCGTCCAATTTCACTTCTGATTCCACAAGTGTTGATCTGAACCCAATACCCTCCATTACTTGTGATAGGTCTTTTCTTAACAGAATATACAACTGTATTTTGTTATATTAGACATGGATCACAGTCGGGCACCGTCCAATTTCACTTCTGATTCCACAAGTGTTGATCTGAACCCAATACCCTCCATTTCTTGTGATAGGTCTTTTCTTAACAGAATATACAAATATAATGTTTGTTGAGTATGAGCTCATTGAACAATTTTCATAAATTGTTCACTTCAATAAATTCATAAATTAAAATGTTGTGCATTTGATTTAAAACACAGTTTTATGTTAATCAAAAGCATCAGAAGAAGAAAATTATTGAAGAAAGATTTCAAAAAATGAGAATCAATAAAAATGGAAAGGATAAATACAAAATCTTCTAACAGAAAATATAAATTAATTGATAAAAAAATAATTATAATAGTGGGATTATATATTCATAAATTTTAACTTTCTAAAATCAATATTTCAATAATATATTATAATATTTATTCATTTCTTTAAATTTATCTGGCTTTTATAAATACATACATGTTCTTCCATCAATAATAATCTTTAATTATCCAAGCCAAAATGAAATGTATTTTTACTTTGATATTCCATTTTATAGATTTTCAATAGGTTATAGATGTAGTCTATAAAATTCATATGATATATATTGTATCAAAGTGTTTTCCAGGTAATGAGAAAGGTTGGCCTTATTTTTTATTAATTTTGTTTTGATCATTCAGAATAGTTTAATTAAAATAACAATATGTATTTTTAAAATAGTGTTTTTGTTTGTTTGTTGGGGTTGTAAAGTGTAAAACATCAGGATCATCAATGCCTGTAAATTAATTTTGTTTATCTCTAGATTAAATTTTTAAGAGATTTTAAATTTGTTTAAACAAATCGCTTGATTTCAAGAAACCTAACACTAACTTTACTGTGTCTTCGTCATCCCTCGAAGTGTTTGCTATTGGAGTTGAAGGTCCAGAACTATTTAGACTCGATACGTAAAAAGGACACTCTTGTAAAATGTGGCTGACTGTAAGTATATTATTGCGGTGTTGCCATTGTGGTGGTTGCTGTTTCCTAATAAGGAGTGAATGGGTAAGATTGATGTGCCCTATTCTCAGTTCAGTTAAGCCCTCTTCCCCGCGGATATAACGATTTGATATTGACCATGGCTTTATTGTTTTTTAATATCTTTTAATTTGCTTGGGGGACTCTCATTCCACATAGATTGCCAATTATTATGAGTTATTTCTTTTTTGAGGGAAAGACTTATATCTTGCAGCGTTAGAATGGCAGCGCCCAGGCCTGAAAGGGTAAGCACTTCTTTAGCTGCGACATCCTGCATAACTGTAAGCTCATTTCCAACATGACTCGGCACCCAAATAAAGTATACCGATTTTCCTAGAGTTTCTAGCATATTTAAATATTTATGAATTTTTAAGACAGTTGGATGTTTCGGGTATAAAGTATTCATTCCTTTTAGAGAACTTAAAGAGTCAGTTATTATTGTAGTAGATAGCCCCCAGTATTTACTCCTTTATGTGACATTGTGTGAGGGAATGAGAAGAAATATATAGAAATGTGAGGTTGCATGATGAATTGTACTCAATTGTGCAGTGGACAAATTATTCATTGAAAAGTTTCATATCGATAAACAATCGATGAAGAAAGAAGGTTGGAATAGGACAGAGCAGGTAGCAACAGCTGGAGAAGGAAACCAGAGAAGAGAAGAGAAGGCACTTCAGACTGGAATACAGAGGCGAAAGGACATGACCTGAGAAGAGAAGTCTACTGCAAGATTAAGAAGATCAAGCCTATAGTTATAACACTTTAATAGAGTCAATTTATTATAGTTGTAGAAATAAATTATTTTATTATACAGGAGTGAAAAGTATTTATTTATTTATTTGTCCTATAGTTGCCTCACAATTGAAGAAGAACAAACCAGGCGAGTCAATTCATTCAAAGTGTATTTACTCAGTTCCACATTTCAAATATATATTCTTATTGTTTCTTCTCGCTCAGTGTCACAAAAATATTAGGTTCCCGAATTCCCAACAACAGTTAAACGCCCTCAAAAAGTCTATATCCAGTGCCGGGGTTTTGTTTTAATAATCACGAGTGTAAATAACCTAGTTCCCCAAAATAGAAGCGGAAGAATATTTACTATTCCCTATTATAATATTTACTAGTAAAAGTATTTATTAGTAAAAGAATATTTACTATATATAATTGTAAAAAAAATATTTACAATTAAGTTTTAACATGTTATTTACATTATTGTAATATGTTTGGGAGTTATTGTCATATAAAATGGATGGTTGAGGCTATTGTATGTAGTTCAGCTGTATATATATTGCAGAGGTTATGGAGTTTTATTTTTTAGGTCGAATTATGGGAACCAAAAGAAGACGCTGTGGATTCGTCTGATTTAGTTCCATCAGCATAGATCAAATACGGTTCTGATATTTTTTTATGTATAAGTGAACATTTGGTTTCATACTCAGTAGAACTTTTATTTTTTTGTTACCTTGTTAGATTCAGGATTATTTAAGGCAGATTGTTAATCCAAGGAGGGTTTAGGTATTCCTCATTTGATTAACGGTATTCCTAAATAGTGTTTTTTTGTTTTGTTTTTTTATAAACCTGGGTTAGAGTTATTCAAAAAATCTCAAAATAATAATTTATATATACTAAAAGATTGTTGAATTGATGATTGAAAAGTTATATGCTATAAACTACAAGAAAGTAATATTATTTCTTTTGGTCAATAGCTTCTCAATAAATTTCTGAGATTTTTAGGTTTTTTAAATAAAAAAATTGCAAAGAAATATTATTTAATAAAAATTCCATTCCTTAGCTAGGAGCCCATGGCAGAAGAAGTCTATTGTTACTCCTGTAGAAGTGGAAAAGGAGAAAGTCCGTAGCAGAAGTCCTGTTCCTGGGAAAAAAACTCCTATACAGGTATGGACCATCAAAATTTTATATATACATACAAACTGAGAATTTTATGGAAATATAATTACATAACACAACTGTCATTAATGGACTGAATAATACATTTTTAATTAGAACAACTTTTAATCAGGACTTGTAATGAAATATTAACTTTTATTATAAATCAGTTTTGATATGACTGGAATCTTTATTTTCAATTGTTTTTCTGTTATTTCAGACCTATTTCCCAAGAAAATTTTTAAGAAAACGTTTTATACAACTTTTATCTAAAATTTATTTTTAAAAAATTCATTTTTCCCTAAAATAAATCTAAAAAATTATAATTGTGCAAAAAATTCTTAGTTTTTATTATAATTTTTTCTCTTCCCTAACCGCCATTTCTGGAACAGAGACTGTTGGCTGTAGTGGATTAATATGTTTGGTATCGGATGGTGAGGCCCTACTAAGAGTGGAGTGCGAAGAGCCCACCAATTATTTCCACCCGTAGACGAACTCTCGGAAAAAGGGGAAGTTCGTCTTTCACTCAAGATAAATTATATATGTAATATAAGCACAATCACTATTCATTTCCATTTAGTATAAATTAAAATTTTATCGTAAACCCAGAACTTAGCTACAAAAAGTTGCTTAGGACTTTTTTCATAAATGTTTTATTGAAACTGTTTAGTTTGATTCCTTGCTTCAAATTATATTTTTGGAAGCAAATAGAATGAAACGCATAATACCTTTTTCCTTAGAAGTCAAAAGAAGACTCACTAAAAAAGACAAGTTGGTAATGTAAAGCAATGAAATTTGTTTGTACTTAAACTACTAATGTAAGTAAATTAAATATAAAATACAACATTGTATGGTGCACAAAATGTTATTGTATCTCATCAAGTTCATAGCTCAATTATGAACTAACAAAAATTATAAGTGACTTTGATTAAAATTATGTCTTAGATAAGCCGAGAGGTCACTCCAATAACAGCAAGAAGTCCAGCTGATACAATGAGGAAAGAAGATTGGTTGTCACAGAGGCTAACACCTGAGGAAAAGGTAAAAATAAAAAGTGATTGCAGTTACGATTGTAAATCATTAAAATTCTTTTTTTTTTTTTTTGTGATAGGTCATTTTTTCCATTAAATAAAAGTAATAAAAGTAATTAAAAGTTATGAGTCCCTGCTACATATTTGTAAAATCCAATAATTTTATCTGTTATAACTAATTGTCTTAGTAACTGATACAAAATATTCTTTAAGCTCTTTTACTGTTGATTATTATGATCCACCATATTTAATTGGAAATAATTAATAGAGACATAATACTACACTAAATGTTATATAAATTTGTTTAACTTTAAAATTGTTTATTTAATTTTTTTTAAATATTTTAATGAAAATTAAAATTATTTTTGTAATAATAAAATAGAAAGGAAAATTAAACAACGGCATTGGAGTTCAGGATACAAGTGATGAGTCTAGTGAGGAATGCACTTGTGGAAAGAATAAAAGAACTAGAGAAAACCAGAGACGGAAAACACCTCCAGTCAAAAGTCCGACAATCCATACCAGGTAATAAAAATTAAGCAATATATCTCAATTTACCTATACTAACTAGTTTACTCAACACTCTTACACATATCTGAAATTAAAAAAAAAATAAAAAGATTTTTGTAATACTAAAATAAGCAAAAAGCTCATTAATAATTAATAAACATTATGAATGGAACAATCCAAACTAATAAAACCATGATTCTCTAACATACAAATAATCTTTGGAATGTTTTTTTTTTTTTTAATAATAGGAGAAAAACATTAGAAAAAAAATTAATGTTTAAATTACACAGAGCAGTCAATAGTATGTAATCAACAATGCTATCAGCTGTAGAAAAGGCAGTATATTTTGTGAAATTCAGTCAGGATTTTTTTATCCCTTGCATAAGGGGATTTTAATTTTAATTAAAAAAAAAAAAGAGATTTTTTTTCATTCCATCTTTATGGGTATAATTTTTATGGTAAGTAATATAGCTTAAAAACAGAAACTAACCATTCAACTCTAACAGAAGGAAAAGTATGCCAGGAGAGGATCTGTCAAAGAGGCGATGTTCTATATCAGCAGCTAAATCACCAAGCCCACAAGAAGATCAGGCAGTAGTTCCAGGTTCCAGACTGAGTCCATATACAGTCCACAGTCCTGGAGGTAGTCCAAGCAAACACCATAGAGCTAAGGTTTATACTGTTTCAGTTAAACATTCGCTTCTTATTATCCATATTTCCAGCTACTGCAATTGGTATTTTACAGGTTGTAACAAGCCCAGACTCTGCCAGACTTAAAGCATTGAGTGCGGAATCTTTGAGATCGGTAAGCCCTGGCAGTGATTCTGTGTTCTACAGTGAACCGAGTAGTAATGCCACAGGAGAAACTGCTCCTTCCACATGCTCTCATTGTGGAATGTTGTATGAAACTCAGATGGCAAAGGTAATAACTTCAATGTTATCCTTCATTACAGAAATGATAAATCGTAATTCAAAATTTAAATTGCACCATGTGACTGAACAATACCAATTTAAATATGAAGTCAATTATAAAAATGGATCTTTGGCCAGCATGTTTTTTTGCTAGTGGAAAAGATTTTAATTCTAGGTAAAAGACATCGTTTCATCATAGCTCACCTCAGAATACCCGGTATTACCACCTTTAAAAATGGTTATTATTACTGGATATCTGAGAGCTCAAGAGAAGGAAGACACCTTTCCAGTCTAAAGATACTAACTATCACTATTTGACCCAAAGTATTTTTTTGTTATTGTTTAATATTAAATCTTCATATATTTCCAATATATGTTTCCGCCTTTTATATTTATCAACTAAATATTTTTTATTTAAATAGGCTGCTGAGAAACCTGCAGAAACAATAGTTCAGCCTCCTGCTGGTTTTGAGGATTCTCCTAGGACTCCACATCGAACAAGGTTGTATAAGAAAGCAGAAAAAAGGTTTAGATCAGAAGAAAGAAGACATCGTATGCATGCAGAAGCTGCTAGAGCAAAATCGGAAGAAAGAGCTAGAGAAGAAAGAAAAGATAAGATCCGGTTTGTTCTTAATTTATCAATATGCATTAATTAAAAATATATCATTGACAACAACGTGAAACCACATTAGTATAAAACCTTTTGATTAAAAGTTATTTTCTTATTATGTATTATACATTTGCTAGTACTTATTATCTAAAAAAATATTCCATCTTTATATTGTTATGGAATCCTGGAGTATTAAGACAAAAACAGCTGAGATTCAATGTAGCTCTAATAAATGCCACAAGTTTCGTTTGTTTCGATGTCTAGGCACAAAACATCCAGGTCATCAGCACGCGATCAACTAAATAACACTACTTTTATACTGTTTGGATGGTAGGTACAAAATAAAAAAGGATAAAAAAATAAATAAAAGGATTAATAGAATAAAATAAATATAATAATAGACACTTATAGATAATAAGATAGAATAGATGAATAAATAAACTTAAAAAGATAGCAATAAAATCAATAAATTAATTGAAATTAATAAACAAATGAACTTTTAAAATAAAATAAATAAATAAAAAAGAGTAAATAAATAAATAATAAATCTGCAAAGGATCATTAGTTATAAACTTGTCATATATGTTTTTTAAATCTTTCATTATCTAGGAACTTGATAACTTCGGTAACGATTTCTTCTTGGTTTCCCAGGGATGCTGATATATTCTGGCGTATTCCGAGATCTTTTAACCTTGCGGTATAAAAAGGCCACTCTTCAAAAACGTGTTTTATGGTTAATGACTGGTCACACTTTTGATATCTGGGGATAAGATCTTTTGTCATGAGATGGAGGTGTGTCAGTTTAGTATGTCCGATCTTCAGCCACGTGAGGACGAACTCTTCTCTACGACTGCTGCGTCTGGAGCTGGTCCACGGTAGCACCTGTTTCTTTATTGTCTTTAATTTGCTAGGTGCGCTGTTGTCCCACCATCTTTGCCATTCTTGTGATATGGTTTCTCTTAGAGGTCGTGCAAGATCAGATGGTGTCAAAAAAGTTTTACTGCGGCCTGGAAGGATAAGAGCATCTTTAGCTGCTCTGACAGCCATTTCTTTTCCTTTAACGCCTACATGGCCAGGCAAAGCCACAAGTGAACATGCCCAAGCTCAGAAACTTTCTGTTGCTTATTGGACTGGACCAGTTTTTTCACCTTTATTCTCATAATCAATTATGCTTTATAAATTATTTACCTTAATAACATACATATCACATTTATAAAATTAATAAATGAGAAGTAGTAAAGCATTTTTCCTCAAAAAATATTATGAAAATTAATTTGAAAAAAAATTCTGTTGAAAAGTTAGTATTTGATTATATGGATTCACAATTGCCAAAAATATTTTTTGATTCAATATAGCGATATTCCTTAAAATATTTTGTTTTTGAAACTCACTTTTAGTTCAAAATTCCTTGAATGTGATTTATTGATAAATTTAAATCTTTTTTTTCTTATTAGTCCATTAGCTCGATCAACTGATGCCAGTATGGAGAAACTGCACTCAAGCAGCCTAGATGATGATGATGAGTGGACAGGCGTCCTTTCAGAGGCCTACAACACTGGTACTTGGGTTTACATTGGTGCTGTAGAGGAACAACAATTTTGGCAAAGGCCAGAGTCCAAAGCTGCAGGTAATTTTTATGTTTAAAAACTCTACATTTTTTATATTAATGTAAAAAAATAATGTTTGTGAATGTGATTTCAAAGCATATGCAAACTAAAACATAAGGTGGAATAAATCAATTGTTCTCTGGCTTGTATATTTTAATCTAAGTATTTATTCATTTAATACATTAACTTATTTAAAATGTAATGCAAGGACAAAAACCTATTTGTTTTAATTAGAACCATAATATATTTCATCATTGTTAGTGTCCAAGATAAGTACAGAAATTAATTTTTATTTTAAGCCAAATAAATAATTTATGAAGCAATGAGTAAGTTTCCCTTTCATATATATTTCTCATTCTATCCAATCTTTCATACTCTGGATTCCGCATTTTCACAACTATCCTTCTAAAAAATAACAATTATTATACACAAAGGTTCTATGAACATCTAATTTAAGATAATTATTACATTCTCTAATTATCTACATAGAAGAAATAATAAATGAATTGTACTACATATAATAGAATGAATCAATCAGTAGAAATATTATAATCCTAGACATTGAGCACGTGTTTGTTTAGAGTTAACAGCTTTATAACATATTTTGATGATTCTTATTTTCATCATTCTTCTATTATCTGTTATATAATAAAAAACTAAATAAATAAAACAACCAATTACTTTTCTCATTGCAGAAGAAGAGGAGACTGAAGAGCATCAGAAACTAAGGAAAGACTCTTCTGATTCAACTCAATCAGAAAATGAATTTAAGAGAAGGTACCAGGCAATTGCTCATAGGATGGTTCACAGGAAATCCAGTCTAGAAATGTATAAAAGACTTGCCTCCAAATCGTTTGAAGCGGATAAAAGGGTTTTAGTCAGGAGAGTGTCTGGAGAGTTTGGGTTTCGGATTCACGGTTCCAAGCCTGTTGTGGTATCTGCTATTGAGAGTGGCACGCCAGCTGAATCATCTGGTTTAGAAGTTGGTGATATAATTATTAGTGTCAACAATACTAATGTGTTGGATGCCACACATTCAGAAGTTGTAAAACTTGCTCATGCTGGTAATTATTATAATGAATGTTAAATTATAATTGCATTTATAATTATTTGTATACAATCAATAGCTGTCATTATAGTGCTACACTCAAGGAAATTTTTTAAACAAATTTATTTAAAATTTCAGGATCAGATACACTTGAACTTGAAGTAGTTCGGACATATGATAAGTTTTCAACAAAAGCTAGTGTACCTTCTCCAGTAATATGTGGCTGCCTTTATAGAATGTCCATTAGCTCATCTAAATTAAAACCTGTTTGGGTTCTTAGATATTTCATTCTGAAAGAAGACCACTGCTTATACCATTACAAGTCTGATTTTGTAAGTATATTTTTTACTTAAAATTAATATTTTAGTTTACATGGATAGTTAATTATAGCAGATCCCACAAATATATAGTGATTAGTTATATAGATTAGATATATAGTGAACCTAAGTGACAAAAATATGTCCCATTCTCAGGAATAATAAAGAGAATCTCTACATGTAAAGCTAAAAAGGTGATAACAGTCAACTTAAATTTTTTAAATAGCATGTTCTTTATATTAAAGCAAATGAAGAAAAATATTTACATGAGGAATACCAAAGAATTACTGAATAAGACTTGATAATGACTCTGGTTTAAGCCAAAACATCATTATTATTATTAAATAAATATATAAAACGGTGATCAAATGGCCTTTACTAAAGGAACACAAAAATTTATAAAACAAAGCATGTCACACTCCTATTTTTTGTTTTTCAAGAGAGCTGGAGATTGGTTCCTCTCAGCTTGAGTCTGCAAGTATAGGTAGTAGGTTCCTACCTCTTCCACTTTCCTTACCCCCAGTAACATCTGAAGATTGCTTCCCTTTAACACATTTGAACTTCCTAATTCCTTTTCTATCGTTCTTAATCTTATTCTTTCCTACCCATTTATGTTTACCATATTGCGTGAACATGCAGTGTTGTTGCATGTTTTCAGGCTGGCTCTTCTCTCTTTCTCCTCTTCTCTCTCCTCAGGATTCCAAAGTGTTTCTCCACTCCATTAATATTATAATTCTTATCAAAGACCAAAGCTGTTCTCTGGTGGATGAATAATTTTGTTTTCTAATTTATTGAATGAAACATATTTATTGTAAAAGATAACAGCTTTATGAATAAATTTCTCAATTTTTTCAGGGAGGACAACCATTAGGAGCATTAAGGGTGACTGATTATATGGTATCTTTGACTTCTGATCCAGAGAGACCTCACAGTTTCAAAATTTCAAGGAAAGGTTGTTCAAGCGTACATTTAGCAGCGTCAAGTGCAGCAGAGACAGAGCAGTGGGTTGCTGCATTAACAGAAGCTAGTAAGCCCTTGGTATGTGCTAATGTTTACATCTAATAACTCATATTCATTTTTTTTTTTTACTTCAAAGACATGCTTCCTAAGATTCATGGTATAAAAAATCTCAATAAAATTTAGGTTTTCAAAAGAAACTCCGAGAAAAAAGTAGCAAATCAGATTAAAGTTATCACTATTTTATTTTATTGTCCTTTATAACATACCTAAGGTTATAGCTGGGATTAGTAATTGTTATTTTATCTTTTTTTATATCCAAAGATATAAAATGTATAATACAAAACCTCATATATTATAATGAAATTGGATACTTTTTTTCAAAAAGGTTTATCCTTGGATGTCTGAAAAATGTCTTAAAGCACCACCCACAAAAATTCATGAACCTGACTGCGTTGGAACACTATCTACGCTTATTCATCATCGTGGAAAGACGTGGAGGAGAAGATTTTGTATTTTGAAAGATGCTTGTTTATATTTTTATACTGACATAAATGCTGAAAAAGCTATTGGTATGTTATATATTATATCTATATTTAGACTTAACTTAGGAATAATTTATCATATCCATTTGAAGTTATAATTAAAATCTCTTTGTGTTCTTAATGAAGACTGAATTAATGATTAAACTTAATTGTCAGAAGATATTTTAAGCCTAGATGAATCTTTTTACACTTGTAATTTGGGACAGTGGTGGCTGAGCACACTATTTGGCCTTGAGGACTACCTAGAGAGTATAGTGTGTCCTAGCCAGAGTGGCAATGAATAATGATAACTCAATAATTGTTCCTCTAAACCTCTCTAAACTTCACTTGGGACTTTAAATGTGAAGAATATTAATTTTTGCTTAACCCATTTTCTGTCTTTTTGCTAATTGTTATGAGTTGCATTTGTAGATTAAGCTACACATTTGTTACCAATAAATTTGTTTTTACTGTTTCTACTGTAGACAGCATTTCAATATATTTGTGTAATTTATCAAAATTACAAATAAATTACCTTATATCTTAAAAGAAATTAAATAATGTAATAAATAAATCAAACATTATTTTTACAGGAATGGTATGTCTCCATGGCTACAGAGTTCAGAGTTTGACCTCTGCCTCAAGAAGATTCTCGTTCGAACTTTTTCCTCCTGAACCATCACTATTACATTTTTATTTTTACACTGATACAGAATTAGATAAAAAAAGGTAACATTAAGAATTTTTAATTAAATATTAAATTTATAATCATATTTATTTTCAAATGATTTAACCACCAGTCATTTAATCTAAAAAGAAATTATTTTTCTTTTCTAACAATGATGATTTCTTTTAATGTAAAATTATTCCTTTAATAGTATTTGCATTTTCAATTTATTTGATAAAATATTTTTTACAGAACGTATTTTTAATATTTATTTATTAAAATATTTTTAATAGAATTTGGCATAATAGTAACTGCATAATATTTTGTTGGTTTTTTAAAAATGACTTCAAAATATTTTCTTCATTATAGGAATGTAAATATAAAAAAAAAAAATTTATCAATATTTTTTAAATAAATAATAATTCAAATATCAAAAAAAAATATATCTATTTACTACATTTTTTAAGATAAATGAATCCAAATGTGAACACCTTGCCTTCACCCTTTGTCATAAATCATGTTCACCAGTTTATTTTAACACCATCCAGCTTCCTTCTTCAGATACAGTCCGGTACTTTGGCTTTCTCTTAGACAGACGACTAACGTGGAACCCCCATACTAGGCTTAAAAGACAAGAACTTAGCCGATGATACGGCCAACTATACACACTTCTAAACAGAAAATCTAAACTTCTTATTGAAAACAAATTACTGATCTACAAGACAATATTGAAACCTATTTGGACTATAACTGTGGGGAACAGTAAATTTTTCTAACATCAAACGCATCCAATCCTTCCAGTCCAAAGTCCTTTAAACAATAGCCAATGCTCCTTTCTATGTAACCAACAAAATCCTACAACATGACCTCAACATCCCATTTGTCCTAGACCTTATCCCACAAAAATTCTCTAAATTTCACCAGAACCTTACGTATCATCTAAATCCTCTTGCACAATCCCTATCAAGCACCACCCATCCCTATAATCCTCTACGGCAGAGGCCCCGTGACCTTTTGTAGATTTTATATTTTGGAGTTCTGGTAATGGTCAGATTCTTGACTCAAGACATGAATTATGTGGCTAAAGCACTCTCGATCAATCTCCGCTGGCTTTAGCACAAGTGATGCGGTTCTCCTGGAGTCTTGTTTTTCTCTCCATAGGGGGACTAGCCAGTCTCGCAGTTCCCTAGCCTGATTGTAAATAGTGTATATAGGTATATATGTGGTTCTTGCTTTTTTTAATTTCCTTATTTTTAAGTTATTTTATTTAATTTATTGTATATACTTTTTGATTACTATTTTGTTTCTGCTTATTTTATATTTTTCTGTATATATAGTGTGAATGTGATCCTACCTCACTATAACTAATGTCCAAGTGACAAAATGTTGTAATATTCAATAAATAAATAGTTAAAAAAAAAAAACTATTTCAAAGGAGCATTTAATTTCAATTAAAAAAAAAAAAAAAAATTCTATCTTTTAATCTTTGAAAAATATCAACAGTTATCACATTAATAAATTAATAACAATATCAATGGCTTGATATTATTAATCTTTGTAAAGTTTGGGGATGTATGGTAAATATTTAACAATAATATCAAAAGTTATTGAAAATTTACGTTTATTATCTAATACATTTGACTAATTATTATTGTTGTTAATTCATTTTTCAATTGTCATGTTATCGTATATTGATTATGTTTATTTCATTAGTCTCTACTTTGTTGCCACTGTTATTTATTTCTTAGTTCTATGTTAATGTTATTATTCTATCTACTTTATTTTACTTTTATGTTCACTCTATCTACTTTATTTTACATAAAGTACTACTACATTTTACATAAAGTACTACATACTTCTTACTACATTTTTTAATCTTTTCACCTTTTTAATTTTAATTCTTTACTATTCAATGTTTGTAGTTTCTCATACCTATTGTTATTTGTTTTTTCTTCGGCCTGAACTTTGGGCCGAAATGTCAGCAAAAATAAAAATAAATATAATTATTTATTTTTACTAATTTTTTTTACAGATCACCCCAACTATTCTTCTCTTCGATTTTTAATTTTTTTTTTTTGGAAAAAATATCTGTTTCCGATAACGAAATTTAATACTGATGTAAAAAATATTGCCCATAACGTCCCTATTTCATCGTTCTATTTTAATTTTTTTTACAAAAATCATTATAAATTTTAAGACAATTTTATCTAAACAAAAGACGCAATAATTAACATCTATGAAAATATAATTCTATGTTTAATAAAAGAAAATTAAATAACATTATTATCTATAGATTAAAATAAAACATCATATTTGGTTCATATTATCTAATTTACTAAAATATTTTGGAGTTTCAACATAAAATACCAAAAGATTTACTAAACCACTTATAATAGTTGTTAATACAAAAAAATTATGTGATGACTGATAGCTAGTCTATAGATTATGAAACATATTGCAAATCTGTTTATATTCCAAAGAAAAATATTTACCAATGTATCATCACTTCCATTGTTTCACGTATTAATTTACTTCTTAGGTGGCTGGCTGCTCTGGAGTACTCCATTGATCGGTGGATTAAGGTTGGCTGAAATTTGAAAAGAAACACACTGCCATTTTCTATTGTGATTGATACAAGTGGTCATGATTCATTTTTAGCAGCACATGAAATGGACATGTGCTAAGATAGATAGACATTTGTATCTTTTCCTAAATATACTTCAAAATGAAGTGATCTGTATAGTAATTATTTGCTCAGAGCAACATGGTGAAAATGTTTCGTCAATTTGTGTATAGGCTATACTATCTTACTTCCTAGGGAACTTAACTATTAAATGTATAATTTAATATATATCTTATATATTATTTGCTCATTGCAATTCACAGTAAGTTTAACACCAAATAGGTGGCGTGTTCCGTAAGCTTAACTGGCTACGGAACAATAAAATCGGGTTGAAATTTGTGCCATTTACTGTAAAGAATCGATATACTGTATTATTTTATTCTATGTTTTAATTTGTTTTACTGTCCCATTTTTAATGTTTCCAAAATTAAACATAAGACATGTTGTTTTATGTTTATGTAGATCGGTGTTGATAGTTTTCGGATAACTGAACTCTATAATACATACTAGATGTACAATGTTAAGTAACCAAACTGATTGTTTAGAGCCTAATTAAAATAAATTTATAAGTGGTTCGATGTAGCACTAGCTCGTTGTTGTGTGTAATACATAAACGCACAAAAAATATCTAGATGTTTGATAATAGTGGACCATTTTCCTTAATTGAATAAATGTAAGTCATAGTTCTTCCAAGCTCATTGTCTCAATTGTATACAGTGGTCTACAAAATATTTTATCACTGTAAGCTCTTACTGTGTTCTGAAAAATTGGTAAATTTGTAATAAAATAATAATATTATAAATGTTTGTTGGAAATAATTTGATGTCACTGCATCTAATTGTAGAGGTTAGTTACGATAATAAAACGATTGAATGTTGTTTGTTCTGTAGATTCTTGTTATATGTAATTAACTTGTACATTACTTGTTTTGTTATAAAACAATACAGGTAATCGATCATCAATAAGCTCGTGACATGAATTAGCGATATTAAAATCAGGTCATACGTGATTTGGATAGTTATATTTTTAATAATGTCAGTTAAAGATCAATATGGAGGATTTGATGGTGAATAAATGAATCCTCAATTCATAAATCGTATTATCATCTAAATTTAGAATTGTTTATATTCCCTGATTCTTATTTTATGAATAAGGGAATACAAAGTAATGATATAAATTTTAAAGATATAGTAGACTTTTGATAATTTGTTCTGCAGATATTTTGATTTAACCATACTATTTTGTTTTCTTTTAATAAAAGTTGTATAACACATAAGTAAATTGATATAATTTTGGCAAAACTATTGAATATGAAATGACAACCCAAAATACACCAATGCTTTAATACAGTTTTCTAACTGCTCTTATTCTATTTGAAATAATCTGGTTTATTGTTAATATATGTAATACTGCTTACTCACCTCTGTTCAGATGTCAAAATATAACATTCCTTTCAGACCAACCATTTTTGTAATGCTCAGTGTGTAATTTGGTCTTAATTGTTAGGATTATTAGATACAATTATATAATTCTGTATTGACAGCTAAATTGAATAGTTTAATCAAGTTGCAGTTAGACAGTACTTATTTTAAAATGTATATCTATATATGTATGTAATTTTTACTCATCAAAATGAACATAATATTAATACATAAATAGTCCAAAAAGTACTTTGAACAGATTAATGGTTTGATGCCAGCCAGTAGGTTTAATTAGAGAATCAAAGCACTAATAATTCACAGTGAATGTTCATGAAATCCCTTATATTGCAGCCAAATTATCAAAGTCCACTGGTATAGGATGACACAAAAAGGTTAATGCATTAACTTATGAATTCAAATGAAAAAAATATTTCTCTTTAGTTCCTCAAACATAAAAAACAAAACAAAAAAAATACATATACGTTATAGTCCTATTTATTTAAACCACCGTTAAGTGCAACTAACATCAAAGGTTTAATGCAATTCCATCAATTCTACAGAATTTAGATATCATGCATGAATAATGACTTTTTAATTTATTTTTCTCTGAAACATGAAAACGATTTGTGACAGAGGCTGAAAAATGGAAACAACCTTTATTTCAATTTATAGTAAAACAGAAGTTCAAACATAATTTTTTTTTGGTACTATAAAATTTAAATAATCTTTGTTTAAATTGGCGAGCTAATTTGGAAAATGTACCATTCCATTACTAGTCACCTTACATTATGGAGTTTTTAATAATATTTTAAAAGGGGAGGGAGGGCAGTGTAGTTTGGTTAAAAAAATATATCAATAGAAATTTAAAAAAATATAAATTCTTCTTCTTAGGAAGAAAAATAAGCTCTCAAGCCAGAAATGGCCAGTGATTATGATTAACGTAAAAAAGTAATTATAACAAAAATATTAGTAAAATAAAGAATATGATTACATAATTGCCATTCTAATCAGCATTATTTATAATCATAATCCTAATTGTGATTAGGTTGTGTTCATCTCTGGCTTAAATCCACTTTTTCAGCAACTGCCTCAATTTATAATTTTTTATGGTGTATTTTTTTTTAGTTTAAAATTCCACAGTGTGTATGAAAACTTACTTTTGTGCAGTAAAATTTATACTTCAACTGATAATTGTACATATCTCAAGTTATGTGTAAAATTATAATTTTGTGTATTCAAGTGGTAATACATCATGGAAATGAATAATTCTAAGTTTAATATAAATGTTTTGGTAGATAAGTGCCTTAACACTATGACCATTATATTATCACCATCGAATTATTATACAATGGTTGCATCAACTGATGACTTTATATGTTTACACTTTGTTACATTTTAAAACTTTATATAAAGAAAAAAAAAACTTTGTTTGATATTCATTGCAATGTGATTTGCATATGAAAAATCTTTTAGTTAAAAAATATATTAAAACTATGTAGCATATATGGGACATTCCTGTTATAGATAAAACATTTAGTTGTTTTTAAATATTATATAGAAATTATATGAATTCATGAATTATATTTAAAAAATCGTTATGTATATAATGTTATATAAGATTTAGTTGTTGCAACTCAATATCAAATAATATTCTGGGATAATTGCATTTATGTTATTTCAAAGGTCATTTTGAACTAAGTCCACTCAATTACTGAAGCAGTGAGTGGGTAACGCATGTTTGATTGCTATTGTGGTTTGCTGAAGAAATTCTACAGTCTTTACCTCTAAAAAATTAGGAGTACATTACTTCTTGAAACTGAAAGGAGTATTCAAATTAATGTAGTTATTAGTTATTATCTTCTTATAATGTTTTCATTATCTATATCCTATATATTGAAACCAAAGAAATTAATTAAATTGAAAATTTATTTTTGATTCAGTGTTAACGTGGATTTATCTGATTTTAATTTTATATTTAATTGAGTAATTAAAAATTGTCATATTGCCAAAATTGGTGCATACCAGTAGAAACTAAACAAGAAAGACTTTGATGTGCTATAAGATAGGGTTCTCATTTGGAACTTGGTCATTTTAACCAGCACCTCTTGAAATTAAAACAGTGAAAGGAAAATTTTTCTAGCTCAAGAAAAATCAATTCCTTGCAATCAGAGTAATTTAAGTAAACTGAAAGTAATGAATAGTTGCTAATTAGTGAGTAATTATATCTTTAATTTATTTTCTGTTAGTGTAAGCGGACAGTAAAATTTTAATTGTAGAATGACTTTTTAGACACACAAAAAACTTTTTTGAGCTCAAGAACTAAATTTTCTGTTATACAATGAATTCTATGTTTCCTTTTTTTAAATCGAGTTCCAAATTATAAGCCCACTCATTACAACTTCACTGTTTGTTCATTTGGTTCTGTGACGTAAATGATTAAAAGCTTCTAGTATCACTTTGTCTGAACTTTAGTTTAGCTTTGACTGACTGGTTTGTGTTTGTAGTTTTTGACATACTCCAATTTCATATCGCAGTAGAATTATGTTAATATCATGCAGACACATCAATAATAATTATTTAAAATATACCATTAGAGGTAAAGTTATGTAAATTTCATCGGAATATATTGTCTTGACATACATAAAAAAAAAAATAGTTATATGACAAAAGTGTAGTCAACTTCTAAGCACAGACTCAACCTTGTTTTGATAAAGTTAGCAGTTGATAATAGCTGCTAGTTCGGAGGCCTATTAATAAGATAAGTAAAACATGAAGAAAGCAAAAGTATTTTCTTAATTGAGTAATTAAGACTTTTATAAGTAAGTAGAATATTTACATAAAACCCATTTAATAATACGATTAACCATTTATCAAGTACCCAAATAACAAGAACAAGGCATTTATTTAACCAGAATCAATAATGCACTATAGATAATAGTTTTAATTGATTTACTATGGTATTTTGTAATAGAAATTTATTTTTGAAATCTGTTAGTATCATTTTATTTTAAGAAATATTATTTCTGTAAAATCTGCATCATTAGCATGATATTATTCAACATATTTGTTATTGTGGAGGGTTTGTTAGAATGATTATAAATCAGTAACAACTTTTGTCCTTTCAATCCGACTAAGTATGACCTTTGAAATATTTAACTTGTATAATAAAACTGTATATAGGTATTGTGTATTAAGGTGTTTATACAAATGTTTAGATGTTTGCACATCTTTGATGTCTCAGTGTTGTATTTATAAAATTCAGGACTATATTGTAGTTGGATAGGTCCTGTAAATTTTTGTGAAGAGATTTGAAATAACATGAGACATATTGAAAATTACAATATAAAGTTTGTTAAATAACTGATTAAACAAATATTTTGTATAATATATGATTGTTTTGTTTTTAGCATCCTATGACTGATTTAATTTTTGGGAAAAAAAATTGGATGACTATGATGGTCAAAAATTTTTTATTTTGTTTTTATAACAAATATTTAATAGCGCTCAATAAAGTAAGTTCATAAAATTATGTCTATTAAGAGATCCTTTATTCTGGTTGATGAGATCAAGTATTACAAAAATATAGTGTGAAGTGGTTATAATGAGTTT